TTTGCATTCATCTTATTTGGAGGAACTAGAACCACAAACACTGTTGTCTGCCATTGTAAAATAATATTCCCTGACGCTCCTCCGCAATGCGTAAGATGCGTCAAAAGTGGACCAATAACAAGCAAGCATTCAAGATGGACGTTTTCTAGAACAAATTGGAACATTTTTCATCGGTGCTGTCAAAATCATCATAGTCATTGATTAAATTCTGACACTATCCATTCACAAAAACATAAAACATCCTTCGGGGCCCCTGAAATGCCGGGGCCCCGGGCTGCAGCCCCTGTAAGCCCCTGCTAAAATCCGGCCCAGCCTGTAGGGATCATAGTGTTGCATTAATGTTTAGTATGTCCTGCAGGGTCAGAAATGGAAATGGTTTTCAGAGACAAGAGTGCAATGATGCCAGAACAGTGTGATAAGTTGTGTTTACATATAACTGAGCAGCGTTACTGTTTAAATATTTAATATCACTGAACAAGAATGTCTACATGGGCTTTACATGAAGACACATTTGTCTTTTGACCGCTAACAAAGAAAACAATCATATATAGACAGTATTATATAACATTCTTAAAGTAATAACTTCCATCTTTATTTGTTTTCCCTGGAGGAGGGAGAATATTAATAAACAGTGTTTAACACTCTTGCTTTGGGCGACATTCCTCTTCCTTTTGCTCAGGATTTTATCTTAAATCTTTTAAGTATTGTGTGAAAAAACAAGCTCAGCTCAAGAGTCCTAGTTGGATTTAAACAAGAACTAAATCACCCAGAAATTAAAACGCATTAAATCCTCACCAGTACCAGATCCGGGCGCTGGAGTCTCAGAAGCGGCAGCAGGAGCTGGTGCTGCGCAGGAAGACCCAGGAGGTGACCGCCCTGCGACGCCTCACAAAGCCCATGTCGGACCGCGTGGCCGGACGCGTGGCCCGTTGGAACCAGACCCCCCCAGTTACGGACTCCGGAGCTGATTTGTCGGCCAGCACCACAGCAAGCGGCTCTGAAGCCGAGGGTGCGAGGACTGTGAGCGGCTTGGTGCGGCAGTGGAACAATAAGAACAATGTGTACGGATACCTGGGAGAGAGCGAGGGCAGCATGGATGGAACACGGGTGATTGGGTAAGAGGAGCTGATGTCACTGCACAGTTATTACTGGCATGGGATTAGACTCCTGATGTGCTGCTGCATTCAGTGGCCATTTAGTTTGATAATTAGTTAAATACCATTTTATCCTTTTTATTCTTTAAAGTGGTTTTTTCAGTAGGAATGTTTCTATCGTCTCTTGTTTGTTTTTTTGGATTTGTTCCCAGCAGCAGGAGGAAGTTGCAGCGGAAGCCGGCGGGCCTGTGCGGCCCTGCGGCTGCTGGAAGAGCCACTAGTTTCTCTAAGTCGGCCCGTCACAAGTGGCAAACCCTCGAGCGTCGCATCATGGATATCGTCATGCAGAGAATGACCATTTCTAACGTGGAAGCTGACATGGATCGCCTTATCAAGGTGGGGAGGGCCCGACACATTGTTCTTCCTCTTAGTGATGATTTTAGGTCCGTTTTTCTGTCACTTCATCTCAATAGCTCAGATCTGAAAGTAAGTGTGACAATCTATCTTTCATTCGACTAAATGCGAAGGAGTGAAACCTTTTTTCTTGGATCCATTCTGTTCTTTTTAAACAGTCACATCCATCTGTTTTACGAAGAGTTTGATGACAGAGCTGCTAGAACATGTAAATGTAAAACCAAATGAATATGTACAAAGAATTCCCATGATCTCAGGTTTTACATTCATCCATTTTTTTTGGCCAATCTTTATTTTTATTTATTTTTTGTGCATTTACGTTGTTGCTGAGTCAGAAGCGAGAAGAGCTGACTGCTCAGCAGGAGGCGCTTTCACATAAGAGGCAGGTACTGATGGCGGACGGGGAGGGGCCAGAGGCCGAGGACCGTCTCCTTCAAGAAATTAACGAGGACATCGAGGTGCTGAATGCAAATATAGACTACATCAACGACAGTCTGTCGGACTGCCAGGCCACGATAGTGCAGATCGAGGAAACCAAGGTAAGAAGGCCTACATCACCGTTTGTCCTCACTGTCCGCCTGTCAGAGGGACACTTTGACTCTGTGGTTTCTAACAGGACGAGCTGGACTCTGTGGACACCTCAGTGGTGATCAGCTCCTGCTCACTGGCTGAAGCCCGCCACCTGCTGGACCACTTCCTGAAGGCTTCCATTGACAAGGTGAGATAACTGCGGAGAATCTAAAACAATAAACCTTAAACCACAAAGACAAGACAACAAGTGATGGAAGTTTATATGATTTAAGAGTACACGCATCTGTTATAACCTTTGTTTGTAGATGCAGTAAGTAGTGTTGCATTGCCATCTAGTGGTGACGCATTATAATGCAAGATGTTAGAGATACATTTTCTAATTCAAAACAGACAACGCTGCCCTAAAGCTATAATACTACTTTTATTTTTTTAATACAATCACGTGCCAGCATGTTTTAGGTGTGTATATATTTAGTGTGTGTGTGTGTACACAGAGTTTACAGGTGGCCCAGAAGGAGACCCAGATCAGGCTGCTGGAAGGCCAGCTGAGGCAGACCGATGTGATCGGCTCGTCTCAGAATCACATGATCCTCGATGCGTTACGTGAAAAGGCTGAATACAACCCTGAACTCCAGGCTCTCATTCACAACGCCCAACAAGGTTAGGGAAGTCTGTTTTTGTCCGTGTGAAGGGCAGAGGGAAAATGCATACACTTTTATTTCTGTTTAGCGCCTTTTTTAACTCTCGTTCCATCACTTGTTTGGTCTCTTACAGCTTTATTTCTCATTGACTTGATAGATGTAACATACAATTAAACAAAACATTTAAATACAAATATCGATAAAAGTTTGAACACTTATTGAACTACAAATAAAACTTAATGCAGTATTTAGACATTTCATACACCCATAAACAATATGGCCAAATATTTAACATAATATTTCTTAATGTGAAATTGTAATAAATCAGAAGATCACATATTAACCTTTAAAAGATTCAAAGGATTTGGGGAATTTTTTTAAAGAAATGACAGAGCTGAAATGTTGATGCTACATTAAAAGCAGATGCTCGTTTTCTGTGTGTCCTTCCCCGGAACATTTTGAATAAAATACTGTAGATGACGTTTCCTGCGTTCTGGTGTATTTTAACGGTTGTTAAACATCTACACCAGAGTTCATGCTCACTAATCCAGTTATAAAATCCAACCATGTTCAGGTCATTTGGACGTTTTCTATTTTTGCTGAGACGTTTCGTCCTTCATCCAAAGGACATCTTCGATCTGAGGAGCCACCAAGCAAAGGATGGATGCTTGCGAGAAGTGGAGCGTGCTCTATTCACACAAGGAGAGCTGTTGGTCAGGCTACTTATTGCTGCTCTCTAAAATAGTCATTGAATCAATTGTTGACTTAAATGTAGATGTTAAACAACCCGTTAAAATACATCAGAATGCAGGAAATGGCATCATCTTTATTCAGAATTCTCCTCCACATGTGAAACCCCAGGCACCTCCTCAGACTGTTCATGGCGGCTGGCTGTGGCTTCCTGCTCGGGTACAACAGCCTGGTTAGCTCGGCACTCGCCCACATCACTCACTCCTGGTCCAGTAGC